TTTATGTCTTCATGGAACCAGACAAATTCAAGCAAAACAAACTGTGGTCATTAATGACAGATTTCGGCCAGTGAGAGGTCACTGGATCTAAGGGTGGGTGGGTGGGGGCTGCTACTTGTGTTCATCACCCCCCTATCAATGCTAAATTTAGATTTCCCGCTTTTTGAGTTGTGAATATCTAATCATATTGAAACAATTGATTTTTGAGCACGCGAGAAAATATTCAAGCACCAATACGGTGGGTCGACACCTTATAAAAAAGTACTTTTCTTAATTTTCGCCTGAAATACAAGTACCATGAGGAAAAATTTAACAAATAAATGTAGTTCTCAGGAAATGGCACTTCGGGGCCCCGTAGTAAAGGCTCTTTTCCACTCAAGAAAAATTTCCACGGACCAAAAATTTTCCAAACATATCATTGTTAAAAGTTGAAAATTAAAAATTTTTTTCCGACTGAAAATTTGTCTCGGCCAATCAAATTTTACAAAATTTTCTTTTAAGGCGAGATCTGCCGCTGTCAACCAGTGGTTTCAAGACTATGCTTGAGTAGAAATGTGTGGTGTGTACTCTGTAGAAATGTAAATGTGTACAGTACTGTCCACAGATTTTTGTGTGAACATGTCGAACGGAACCGCATAGATTTGGACATGGTTGGGTGAGGGTTCTGAATTCGTGAAAGTATTCTGACATCTTATTTATATTCAATGATTTCAGCATTGACAAGTGAAGTCCTCCAATTTTCTATCAAACATTCATTTGAATTCATTGATTTAAATGAAGAAATAGATCCAGAAGGTAACAGTTTAAAATTGTTATGAATATTCTCAAAATAAATAAAATGGGTCGTAATTGCAAACAATTCCAGTCAAAATCCAGTAGTGGCAATGTACTACTTGACCATTTAGTAGCGAGGAACACAAACATGATGTACCGATGGCCATGTCTTGTTGTTTTGAAAATCCTACTGTTTTCCATTGCCGTCCAGTGATTTCAGTCACTCTGCTGTAAATGATATGTCATTTTAAAAGTGGTATTATGTAGAGTTTTTGTGTGAAAATTGTGTTTACTAAAATTGCCAGATGATTTTCCTGATACTGTTGGTTTTCCTCGCATTGTTCAGGCACTTCACGCAACGGAATGGCCAGATTTAGAAATGAAAGGTACTGTAAATATATTAAAGCTTAATACACCATTCCAGAAAGTATGTCATCCTGGGGCCGGTTGTATAAAACTCTTAATCACTTTTTTAATCACTATTTTGTAGTTAAATAGTGATTAACTCTCAAATACGCGCTTCTTATTTGATGACATTTCCACTTAACTATGATTAACTTTAATCACTTTTTTATACAACCGGCCCCAGGCTTTCATTTACAGTCCAGTGTTTGCGAGTACCGTCTTAGTACTCCAAGTTACGCTTGCACTTAAGGGATGGGGGGGGGGGCTGCATGGGGGGGACAAAAATTTGTGTATTGGAAAACAAAAGAACAAAAATTTCGTGCAAAGAGGGAAAAGAAAAATACCTTCAAATTTCCGGAAAAAAATTCCAGCACAAGCAGACCGGCGAAAAATATTCATGCAAGCTGAAATCCCCCCCCCCCCCCC